TCCAGATCGTTGATAAAGATATTGAACAGGACCAGCCCCAAAACTGAGCCCTGGGGAACACCGCTCGTGACCGGCCACCAACTGGATTTAACTCCGTTCACCACAACTCTCTGGGCTCGGCTGTCCAGCCAGTTTTTTACCCAGCTGAGGTGGCTGACTGCTTTTTTCATCCCGAGCAATCCAAGTAACAAATTTGGATTCTGCATTTGAAGGGACCTTTCTCCAGTAGCTACAGGCTGCCTCCTTTAGGGGTGGGCTCCTGTCGCAGGGCACAAGCGATAAATAGCTTGCCTTTTCCTTGGAGACGTGAATGAAGTTTTATTACCTTGCTTTTGCACTAAATAAGACCTTGCCCAAAGGAAGTTGCTACAGGGCAGCTCTTCTGTGATAATTTCAGTGAATTACAGCTGCTATGCCAAATGCGCCCATTCAGTGTGATGGTGGGATTGTGCTTCCAGGTGAAAACACAGGACGGGACTTCTGGGAAGTAAGAACGTTGAGATGCGTAGGTAGGTAATAACACAGATGGCCAGAGAGATTGCTTGACACTAGGAGAATGGAATCCTTTGATGGGGACAAAATTTGTTCCTCTAGAACTTGCTTGTCCCTCTGTAATGTTTAAAGATGGCCTTAAAAGATAAGGTGTCCCTAGAGGGTCAATTAATTTGGCTCCTACCTCTCTCCCTCCCCATAGTTTCCAAGACTGGATAGGCTGAAGGTTGGAGGGAGACTTAAATGGGGAATATCAGGAGTGCAATTTGTATTCTTAGAAAGCCTAGTAAATTCTTCATTTTGAGATGGAATTTATTTCCTTCCGTCTTCTACTATTGCTGACTTCTCTAAAAAAACCAAAACACAACAAAAATCCCCAACAAAAAGCTACAGGATTAAATTGCTAAACTCTCAGTAATAAGGAAGACCAACATTAAGATTTTCTATGCAGCCTTAATTATAAGCTCTTGTGCATATTCATTATGGTGCCATTACTCCTTATGTAACTAAAAGCTATGTTTTGTACACAGATCTTCCCCTTTTTTCTTTTAGCAACCTTGCAGAGAGTAGGAGAGAGTTATTTAAGGACTCAAAGGAAGTCCACAGAGGGTTTCTTTCACTGGGTAAAGAAGCTGTGCAGTCGTTAACAATGAAGCAGTGCTGCTGAGATCCAGGATCCAGAACCTCTCCTGTCCTTGCCACAGAGTCCTACTATTGCCTGAAGCAAATCATTAGCAATCTTCCTAAAGGTTGCTTGTGATATTATTACTTCTTGTCCTATTAGGAGCACAGGGAGGATCAGCCATGAATGTTTACAAGTTGCTCAAGAGAGTTCACCACCTTTATCCTCATCTGAGTACAGAGCCTGGATGATACATGGTGGGCAAGTCACACAAACACGATAAATAGCCAAAAAAGGAAAAAAGGCTGAACTTTCATCTGATGTCATATCTGTCATCACTGAACACTGAATAAGGCAGGCTCTGTGAATAAACAGTATCCACTAAATGTCATAAATCATTTTGTAAAAATGCAGACACAAAAGTTGCTGAATTAGCCCTGGCTTTTCATCGCTTTGGCATCTGTGGAGTTGCAGCAAAGCTTTTTGAACATAGAAAATTCTGTGATGTGTGCTGTGCCAAATGCCTCTGTCACTAAAAGCAGCTTCAGTTTGCATGTATTGTGCAAAGTGCCCAAAGCTGGCTGTAGAACAACAGTGGAAAATTCTGTCTTTAAATGGCCACTTTCTGCCTGTGAAATGGTGGCAAAACAGTTCCTGTGCCTTCAGTAACAACTTCCATGCTCCCTCTTCCTTTCCAAAGACTACCCTCCACCAAAAGTGCAATGAGGCTGAGGAACACACTAGGGAGAGAGTAAATTGTGGTTTGTTCACTGAATGTGCACTTTTTAATTCACAGCATATTCTTGCTGTGGCTTAAAAATTAACAGGAGTGGAAAGATAAATATCAAGCAACCACAACTGACTTTCTGCAATTTCTATCCAGGCAAAATAAAGATACTATCCTACTTTGTGTCTTAAACTTTTAATTTTTTTCAATGTACGCATCAAGAAAGAACAAACTACTTGTGTGAAAGTCTTCAATTTTCCATTCTGATTCTCTGTTCATTTGATGCAGTGTGATCAACAGTGCCATTTTTTGCAATTAAAACTTGTGATTCAGCCAAAGAAACAATTAATTTGATTTTCAGTGTAATAACACATTTGTCATTTAGATTTCTACAAGCTTTGGTATCTGAAAGTGTTAGCAAATGTCTCAGTAAGTAAGAGCTAAACAAGACACTTAACTGCTCTAGCATTTTAGAAACTTTCTAATATAAACATATGTTTCTGGCAAACCAGTGCTATGTTCACAGTCCCTCTTTGACTGTAGGACTGAACATATTTTCTTGATGCATATTTACATAAAAGACATTTTCGTTGAGTAGTATGAGCCAAATCCTAGCTGATATATTTGAATCCCTTTCACTACTTTTGACACCCATCTAGTGGACAGAACACAGTATCACAGGATAAAATTCCTGTCACAACAGCCATGTGCAAGTCTTGCACATACTTGTAGTTACCTGGTGTTGCAAACCACAGGTCCTCTCTCAGCCAATGAAACTGCAATTTTATCTAATAGACTTTTACATTTTAAAAACTCACTATGTTATAATCTGTCAGTGCAAACTCACAGAAGCCTGCCTTAGTTTCTGACTGGTAATAAAATATTCATATCATGTCCTCAAAAAGTGGGTGAAGAAAAGAAAACAAATCTGCAAACAAAACCGTATGTTTCTTTAATCCAATAAAATACCTTTAAATCAGCTGAATAATTAAGTCCACTGTTAAAGAAATCAATTTAATAATCAACTCCTTATTCAAATTTTTCCTGCTGTGAGACAGACTTACCTTTACCTTCTTTTATTTCTATCCCACTTTTAACTTTTGCTTTAGAGCTTTCAGACAAGCTTATATATATTTGAAATTATACTGCCATTAGTCTTATTGAGCACAGGAGTAAACAATTCTCTTCTATTTTACCTAAAATTGCATGAAAGATCTGCCCTCCTGCCCTCAATAGAAAGACAAAACAGAACATACAGACTGTGTACTGTTTAGGAGTCTGTGTGTTCTTGCAGCTGTTTAAAGAAAAAAAAAATTTATTTAGGCAATGAAATAGAAGTTTTAGGAAATTTGGGTATGATGAGCTCACAGATGTTCCAAACCCTTCATTGGCATTGTGAGTATTTTGTGCTCCTGGAATACTCAGGAATTTGAACTCAAAAGATATTGATTGCTAGTGAATAATAGTAGTCATGCTAGCAGTAATGGCAATATGGTTATTAATTTATGGCACTATAAGCTGAAAAGGATGTTTTACTGTAGTTTTCATGCTATCTTGCCCTTTCCGGTATTTTTTTCAATATTTTTTTGTGAGCAGGTCTCACAATGATCACAAAGATGCAATGAAAAGGGAAAATGAAATGTAAAGAGGAGCTACAGTGAAAAGAGGATTAAATTGCTAAGCTGTCTTCAAATTTATTTAATACCATTTTCTGAGCAGTTTTTTTGGAAAAAAAAACCAAAACATTTTGCTTTTCTACATTCAAACTGTGAAAGGTGAATAAAAAATAAATAATATAGTCCGAGAGCGGCAGAAAGATTGCCGTTCCAGAATATGTGCAAAATAACATGAAACCAAGGTCCATTCTCTGCCAGACAATGTGCATCTCCGTCAAAACAGGCAATATATGTTTCTTTGATTAGTTCATTTAACAAAGAAAAACAGGCCATGGGAATGCTGTCACTTCAGTAAAACATTAAAGTGGAAACCTAACTGCAACCTCAGGTCAATGGTCGATAACAGCAAGAAACAAGCTAGCGCAGAGAGTAGCATGTACCTGCTGTGACACCCGCGCCAGGTTGAAGTCTAATCAACAGATGACATGTACTGATTATTTTCTCTTCCGCTGTCATTAGATATAATCAGAAATTGGTGGGTGTCCTTCACGTGAACACTATCTTCAAAATGAGTACTTTGGATGTGTTCATTGCAAATACATATTATGATGCTAACACTTATCCATGTTTAAAAAATCATGTGAAAGATCCTCTATTCATCCCTCATTTTAAATGCATTAGCAGTATTATTTAAGTTCCCATTAGTATGGCGAATGAACCCAAGTAGTTATAAGCCAAGGTCTCATGCATACCTTTCCTACTATGTTGTAAAACTAAAATTGATCTTTGATTTTAGAGACACAACCAACTAGGGAAACAAAAGCCATCTTCCACTTCTGGCTGGACAAAATATGCTCCATCCCATCAGATGGAGACATAGTCTTGCTAATCTACACATTTGTGACCTCTGAGCTTGCATACCACAGACGGAGCCACATGCTCCAAAAAGACTCCATACGGTACCAAAGGCAGCTGTCGGGCTGCTAAGCAACACGGGTTGCCATGAGCACATCCTCCCAGCACTGCCCACCCTGCGCTAGTTTCTAATTGATTGCAGATTCCCATTCAAGGTCTTTGCACTGATTTTCAAAGCCCTTTGTGGAAACGTCACAGACTATATGAAAGAGCACCTTCTCCCTCCTTCTCTTTCTTTCTCTCCTCTCACACTTCTGCCTTTCATGACAGCAGTGTTCCCTAGGAATGATAAGCCTGTTTACCACTCTTAATACCAAATACAATAGCTAGAAATGCTGTGTAGTTCAAAGACACGAATGGCCACAGAAGTCGCGCTGCTTGGCAGTGAGCAAAGAGCTCAATTCCTAGATCTGGTTGTAAAATAGCAACTCTAATGCATGCAAACATGCCCAAGCACAGACATACACCTTAATCCCAACCCAGCACTTTGTTTATTGGGGTAAGACAAAATATGTTCTTGAAATATTTGGGTAGTAATGAAATGTTAGGGTTCAGTACTCGATAACTGAAGAGCTCTCAACTGCCTCAACAGTGGGAGACAGAATAATGGGGGCCCAGCTCAGGAGAGATGGGGCCTGAGGAAGGAAACAATGAAACATTGTGTTTCCTCAGGTATAGAGCTCACGGATACTCTGCATGCAGGGAAGCATAAGGCTTCCTGTATTCCTAATAGTGTTTTCTTTCTCTACCAAATTTCTTTTCCTTCAGACTTGTTCTTTTTGTTTATCAGCAGTTTTAAAGTATATTTCTTGTGTGCCTTGTTTTTTGGCTTAGCAGTGGACTTGACCATGTCTTTATTTCCCCATTATTACCAAGAAGGAATTAGTTAGTAATAAATTCACAGAAGAGTGTTTATTACTTTCAAAATTCTTATGTCAACGGCATAAATCTTTTTCTCCTTTCTTTTTGCAGTTTCGATGTAGACAATGGTACATCATCGGGACGAAGTCCCTTGGACCCCATGACGAGCCCTGGATCAGGGCTAATTCTTCAGGCAAATTTTGTCCACAGTCAACGTAGGGAGTCTTTCCTTTACCGGTCAGACAGTGACTATGATCTTTCTCCAAAGTCCATGTCCAGGAACTCCTCCATTGCCAGTGATATGTAAGTACATTATAAAATACTTTTAGCCTACGTACATTATAAAATACTTTTAGCCTATGTTTTGTCCTCTGTCTTAAGATTTTTCCAGCCCCAAGAAATTTCTTTTAAAAATCAAAGACAGTAATCACTTATGCTACTTAGTCATGGATAATTGTTTGTTTATTTCTCTAATGAAGCTTGTATTTGTTACTGCAGTTTTCTGAAAGTAAGGATATCATGAGGGTGTACTTGATATGTTTATACACTTTGTTACCTTTGACAGAATAATGAAGACAGTCAATACTGGTATATCAAAACACTAAGGAAAACTCTGATTTCCTGGCTGTTAAGTTATTTTCAAGAGAAGCGATACAAACTCAATTTCTGCTTCTTAATGTTCTTAAGAAAAAGATTCAATTTATTTGCACCAGGTATTTTTAGGTTTTTAGAAAAAAGATGTACCAGCTGGCAGAAATTAATAAATTCAAGAGAGGCAAAAATTATTTCAAACATCCTTTTAACTAAATGGCAAAATTTTAACAAAAGGCCTTGGGAAAGTTATTCTGTCATCTCTCACTATTCTTCTGTGATGTGTGTATTTTCTGCTAGTGGATCATACTTTTCAAGTAGGTGTAGACCCCAGGTTGCATGGGTAGTGGAAGGCAGATGCAAATCTCTGTTTATTTGTAAGATGCTAAAAACATGTTAAATGTCCTAGCTTCTACTCACTTCTAAGTAGTAGAAATTAAGAATAACTATTTTTTTGTTTGTTTGTTTGCCTTATCTGCTCCAAATTTCACTGCCAAGTTTCTGGTTCAATTATAAATCACTAAAATAAAGGACCAGGCTTGTAAGGGTCCCCTAGTGAACAAGAAAGTCTAAAGCATTAAAAATCCAGCATTAATATAAACGCTGTTTTTTAATGAGGCAAAACCCAATCAATATCCTCTTTAAAAAATAACAGAGTCAATACGCACAACAAAGGAAAAAGGTTTTCATAATAATGAGTGAAATTTCACCTGATATTTAACTTGCAGTCATAATTGAACACTTCTAGTTTTAGCTTATATATAATTATTAGAAATGTTGATTAGTCCATCTAATTATACCTCTTTTTGGATATTCGTATCTATTCTTCCTTTCAAAATTTTCTTAAAACACATCTGCGTATAAAATTTATTGGACCTCACATCTGGTTTTCACAGATTTTCACAGTCTCCTGTCATAGAGGAGCTGTTGTACGAAGAGGGTAAATATTCCTGCCACTGTTTAGGATGGGAACACATTAGGAAATGTAAAAGACAAGTGGTTTTAACTGTGGAATATTAATCATATATCAGTAAGCCTAATTATAATAAGCTTGGTTATCTCATGGAAACAAAGTAAAAGAAAACCAAGGAATGAAAGAGGGGAAAGTTTAAAAAGATAAATAGCGAGGAAAAAAATAAAGAAAAAATACCACAGGCTCTTTATATATGGGTTCAAGGAGAAACTGGATGTGCTCATGGAAAATAAACCCACTGAAGATTATTAAAATAGAGAAACCACTCTGGTTCAGGGCATTCCTAAACATGGTGGAGGCTGGAAGGGTTGTCAGGGGAAGTATCATACAAATTTTAGATTACTCCCAAATTATCCTATTTCCCTTTTGCGTCTATCTACATGCTTAATTTTAAGTATTGCATGTTTCTTAAGCGTGAGCAAAATATATTACAAAACATACACATCATTCAGGTAATGCAGATCAATTAATTGTACATAACAGTTTAACCTGGAATCCCCTGATTCTTCAGCACTTGAGTTACCAACCTCAATATTTCACTTTGTAAAGCAAAATAGAAAGCAAAGGGTATGCATCTTTTATTTGGAAGGAATGTAACATAAAGATTTCTGGCATTTCCATTACTCTCAAATCGTGTGCTTACAATAATGCTTTCCACGTCAGTAACAGCAGATGAAACAAAAACAAAACTTTTAAGATTTTAGTCAAATATGGAGTGTCATAATCAAAGACGGCCAGTGGATGGCAGTGCTAAAGTACTGAATTCATCATTCCATCATTATTTATTATTTCGCTGATGCAGCAGCTCTGAGCTCCAGCCAAGGAAGGGAACACAGTCATGCTCAGCTCCTTGAAAACCCAAGATGAAAAGATGGGCTCTGCCACAAACAACTTAAAGTTGAAGCATAAGGTGATAATAGAGACTAACGCAGTCAGATACTATCCCCAGGAGAAGGTACAATGAGTCCCTATGCCCAAAGTAGTAAACCTCACAGAGCAACCAAAGGGAGTTTCATTCAGCGAGTTGAGATGAAAACTGACAGAAACAAGGGCAGAGAAGGGGGACGTGGAAAGTTTTTTAAAATCGGAGAGACTAAAGTGTATTTTAAAGTGAGAAGCCAGATTAGCTAAGGAAAACAATAAAAGACAGGATGAGTTCAGGGCTGCTTAGATGAGAGGAGGTTAGTGGGACAAACCGTGGGTGCAGTTATGGCACTGAAAGAAGCAGAAAAAGCAGCTGTGTGGTAAGAAAAGAAAAACAGATTAAAAGGTGTGGGAGTCAGTAACATATTTTTTCAATTATCTCTTGGAAGAAATAGCATGGTCCTAGAGAGGAAAAAAAAGCAGCACATGGAGATGATAGGAGGAGATGAGAAAAAGCCATTCAAGGGTGTGAACTGGAAAGACAGGTGGTTTAGACAGGAAGATCCAGCGTCCAAGGCAGAAGAGTACAGATTTGTTGTGAAGCCTGGCTATGGGATTTCCAGCAGAGAGATGAGGATGTGCAAGAGAAAGAGAAGTGAATGAGCAAGCCAGTGAGGATCAGTGAGCTAATATGATGAATTACAGGGCAGGATCTGTGACGACAGATGGGAAAACAATTTTAAAGAGAAGGAGAATAAAGAATGCAGAATTGAAAAAAAAAAAAGTCCCCAACAGCACAGTTGCAACACTGGGAAAAAAGGGAACAGAAACCAGCTGAAAGATGAGAGAAGTCATCAGTGTTGTACTGGAAGAATTATCAGGTTTACATTTGAAAGCATCAGTGAATCAGGGAGCTCTGAATGTGGATGTCTTGCAAAGGTGGCCTGATTACTTAATACTTACCTGTTTGAACTGCTGTTGCTGCTCAGAGCTTGCAAATGCAGACAGAGGCGGCAGTGGTAACACTTTTTATGTCTTTCTTGCTATGGGATCACTGCTCTGATTAACAGAGCATGAGATTGAATTTGTAGAGAATCACCAGGTTAAAAAATGGATTCTTCAGTGAAATCATTAGCACTCTCATGAACACTAGAAAGACGCCAACAGGCAGTCCACTAGCTAGGGCAGAGCCCATATTTTAACTGCCACTCTAAAGGGAGAGAAGCATGTCTGCAACCCTGAAGAAGCAGACGAGAATGTAGCAGACCGGAGTAGAGGACCAACACACTCTCGGTACAGAAATCTGTCTGAGCTCCACTATGTCTTCTGAATGTATCTAGGGGAAAAGGCATGTGACAATAAGCACTGCTTAAGTCTACCCTTTTCCCACTTCCACAAGATCACAGAACACAGCTCGGCGGCAATATCCCGGTCTTCCCAGGACTTGGCCAACTGAACCTCACTCAGTAAAAAAGTAGCTGGTGTGGGGAGTTTTATGGCCTTCTTTAGAGAGGCTCAGCACTCAGGTGATGAGGTGAAATATCAATATAAGCTCTGGTTAGTACAATTACACAAAATCTGCTAATTTCTATTAAACCTTGCTTCCATCTTTAAAGCACCAGAACCGAGCCAGGGAACACTGACCATAGGGAACTGCAGGGTCATTGGCCTGGTGATCTGCTAAATGGCCAGCAGTACACCCATTCCCCAAACTGGCCAGCCTACTGCTATTCTGCCAATACCTTCTGTAAACAGTAGCATCTCTCTGCTGCTGTCCCTGGTAAAACAGATGTCAAGAGGATGCAATTTACTCCAGGATTTTTTCCCTATAACTACAGTATTATCCTGCCTTCTCCTAGAGGACGTGCTGCTTTGTAGACTGTATTTGAACGTATCTGTAAACCTTGGCTCCACATTTACCAAAAAAATCTAAAAAATCTTCTCTTCGAATAATAAAACCCAAATGTGGACTACTTTGGAACAAAAAGAGCCTCTGTAGTCTGATAAACATGGATACTGACATACAGAGATTTGGGTTGTTTTGTCAGGATGACTTATTCCCTTCTTCAATAGCTGGAGAAATAGCTGTGGGATTTTTAATTTGTGTGGGTATTTTTTTCCAAAATAAAGCAAAAATAATCTGTAATTTTGCAAAGAATAAAGAATAACAGAATTATTCCGGCTGCAAAAATTACCTTAAGTAAAGGGAAATTCCAAGGCAGGGAGTTCCCTGATTTGTCAGTGACTGACAGGTCTGGTCCTGACCTGAAGCTGCAAATGGGCTGAAATATCCTTTTAACTACACCAGAGAAGAGAATTTTTGAGGTAAACTCGCACATGTGTTTCCCGGTTCTGGACAGTCTGCTCATCTTTTAAAAAAATTGCATTGTATTCAATCTGGATCAGATTCATAAAGGGAATGTACTTTAAAACAATGGCAGACAAAGATGGCAAACTTGGACAGTTAATAACGTTCACCCGAGTGTTTAATATGCCAATAAAATCATGAAATGAGGATATATTTTCTCATCCAGAACAGGAAGCCAAATTATTAGTGATACAGCCTTATTCTTCTGTTTCTGAGCCGGCAAGGCCTGGATTTGTTAATAAAATGCTGTGAGTATGCATCTGAAGTTACGGAGAAAAAAAACCTTTTCCCTGAAAGGTTCTGACCAAGACTGTAGGACAGCAGAAAAGACACGCAGTTACTGAGCAGAGTAATTACACTTCAGTTTAACAAATTAGAAATAATCGTCTTTCTTTCCAGATAAACTGCTGTTGAAATTCTTTATGATTCATCACATTCTTTTATCTTTTTAACTGGCTGAAAAGAGCCAGTTAAACTTCAAAGTCCAGCCTGCTTTAAAAAAATGTT